AGAACTGCTGTTCCCTTCACATTCCCAGCCCGGCGAGGGTGCAGAGAGCATCAGCTCACATGAACAGAGAGGACGGCCCGTGGGTCACAGTCCTGTGAAAGACCAGGGCCAGCAGGGCGGAGCAGTCCTGGGCCCAGAGCCTTGCTGACAACTGTGACAATGGCTTGCATTTATGGAGCATGTCCCTGCCCAGGTTCCAAATCAAGTGTCACGTGGCTTCTCTCACTCAGTGCTCACCTCACCTTGGTCATCTCCTGTGATGAACTTGAGGAAAGGGAGTTTGGGTGTGTGGAGGTTGAGTTCCCTGGCAAGGTTCACGGCTATCGAGGGGACCACAGTCTGGCCTGAGCACTCCCATGTGGCTCGCCTCTCACTGCCTCGGGGTCCAGAGCTGCCACATGGCTCAAAGCCCCTTGGAGGGGTGGAAGATGAGCTGATCGCTTTAAAATACCGCTGGACTTGGAGGCCCTGTATTTTCCTAGGTTCATCCCTTCGCTGGGAGATGAAGATCAAGACCACAGAGATGGAACAAGGCCTAGGGAGGTGCTGAGTCCTCAGACCCTGACACTTGGATGCCCCCAGGTGGCACAAGGTGGTACAAGGTGGCCCCAGGTGCGATTCCGGCCCTCCAGGGACTCATGTGGTTAAACGGTTTCAAGAGTGGGGTAACTGCAAAGGAATCTGATTTACTACCTGGAGGAGTTAGGATTCCCCTTAGAGTCTCAGTCAACTGTGGATGAGGAAATACAGGCATGGAGAAATAAAGCAAAGTGTCCAAGGTTATCCCGGCCATTCAGAGGTGGGGGCCAGAACTTAGAGGAGTCCACACCCCTGGCCTTCTATTCATTTCTCGAGGAACATGACGGCCTGCCACACTCTTTACAAGAACTGGGACTTGGGTGGCCCTGGAGGAGCAAAAGCAGCTCCCAGAAGAGGAAGTGGCATGCAGATGATGTGCACGGTGGGGACACCGGAGGCCAGGCTGGCGGAAAGCAGGCTGCATCCCACAAGCTGACTTTTGTCGGGGAGGAGAGAGTACAGGCATGCTGGGCCGAAGAGGACTCTGAGAAGGAAAGACAGCCAGGCTCAGTGAACAATGAGTATCAGGAGCATGGGGGTTGCAGGAAGGTTGGTCCTGCCATGTGCTTGTCACCCCTCCTAGGAAGCATGCTTAAAGGATGGTGACATGTTAAATTGTTTGACTGACAGATCTCAGTGAGGGGTGAGGTGGAGGAGGACCCTGTTGTTTATTACTTTGTTTTGCACGGACATTTCCTGCTCACTCAGACTTGCCTGCTGATACCAGCGGATTTCTGCCTCTGTTCCATGGGACCTATCATCTGCCAGAGCCTCAGTGTCCACCCTGTGTGCCAAGGCAGCAGGTCTAGCTGTATCGCGACAGGGTCATTCTGGGGACAGCACAGCTGCAAAGTTTCACGGCTCCATGGAACAGCCTCCTGTGTCTTGCATCTCCAGTGGGCTCCAAAGGGCATCTTTCCACTGAGTCAGTGCCAGTTCCAACTGCCCTCCTGTGGTGAGCGAGATTCCTGGGGACACACTACCACAATGGAAGCGGGGGCTGACCAGTTAGCGGAAGAAGACGATCCGAATGCCAGAGGTCACGCCTTTTGCTGTAAATGTTGGCTTTAAAATGTTCAGAATTCCTCAGAAACCAACTTGGCTCCACGGTGTGCTCCATTCTTCTGAGAAAGAGAAAAGGAGGCTCCAGAATGGCTGAGCCTCAGGCAGCTGCTAGGTGGGTGGGGAGATGTGTGGATGTGAACGGAGCACAGGTGGGCACGGCAATGCACAGAGGCCACTGGGGCTCAGGCAGGGCAGGAGCCTCCCAGGTCCAATTCCCCTGGGGCTCTCTGCAGCGGAACCAGAGGAAAACCAAGAACACTGCAGAGCCAAGAGGTGGTAGCAGAATTCAACTTCCCGGTGCAGGTCCTTTACAGGTTTACTTGTTGTAGTCCCCACCCCGTGAGTGTAATCGACCTACTAGCGTGTAAGCTTTGGGGGTTTTGAACTTGCCTTATATCAAGTGTGCCCCGTCTCCACTAGGGAGCAAACCCCAGCCACTCCGCTGCACACTCGGCAGGCATTTGATTGTTCAGAACACATCAAACAGCCTAAGTCTCCCTTGTAAAAGTTTTACAAGAAAATCACTGAAGACTAGCCAAGCTATCCTTTTTCTCTCCTCCTCCTTAAATTCCAAACCTGAGCCGATATTCTCGATTCCCACACTTCGGTGCCGGCTGGAGAGAGCACTGGATTGTGCAGCGTGGAGCGGCAGAAACCTCAGCCCCCGGATCATTAGACTTGCAGGCCATGGCTTGTGGGATCTAGTGATTTGGACATATTTTATTTAACCAGCTTAGTAAAAGGTAATATTCAGCAGCTGTGATCTATAGCGGAATTACAATTTTCAGGGTCAAGGAGGGATTTTGATATTAGGAGGTTGGGCAGAATTGCTATGAAATCTCATGGGCTGTCTTTAAAAATAAATGAGAAAATAGGTTATCCAAGAGTCATTGTAAGGGAAAAATCAATAGGCAGTGTCTATTCACTTGGGCTATCAAAATCCTTGAAATTTGAACAAAAGTTTCACATTTAGTGTACTGGAGGTTTTGAAATATCAGCGCTGGAGCTCGGTGGGTCCAAATTCATTGTGCTGCGCATCCAAACGAGGCATGCCTTCTGAAGCCAGAGGGCTCCCTTGGTAAAAAGGACTCTCGGACAGGACGGTTTCATCCATGCTGCTGTTCTGCAAGTGGCAGAGCTGCACCGAGGGCCAGGGCCTTGACACACAGCTGTGCCTGATGGCCCCCGCCTCTCCCCTGCCCTGCCTCTTGTTCAGGAGACGGTGGAGCCCACCGTCGTGTGTCTGCCTCCCACAGAATCCAGTGCCCCACCTTTGCGTGAGAACAAAGGATAATCCAATGGGGAAACTTTTGTAAAATTTTGGCCCAACAGGTTGCCTGGAGTGACAGAAGTTGTCTCCCATTCATTCACCCTAATCTATCGAGGGCCCACCGAATGCCACGCTCAATCCCGGCACGAAAATGTAGACATAAAACAGGCCCCCTCTAGCCCTCCACAATACAGAGACCAGTGGGAAAGGGGGTTATTAAAAAATAAACACAGAAATAAATACTTGAGTATGTGTTGTGGTGAGGAGAACAGCAGGCTGAGCTGCTGGAAGGTGGAGTGAGATCAGGGAGGTTCAGTGAAGGTGTCTCTGATGGCATCTTCAGCCTGGATAGGGAGGACAGGTGAGAGCTAGGGAGCAGAGGGAGGGGAGGAGGGATCTTCCTCGCAGAGGCTCTGAGGTGGGAAAGAGCTTGGCATGCTGGGGAAAGACAGGAGGCAAGGGAGCTGGGGTGGGAGACAGAGACGTCAGGTCCCAGAGGGCTGGGCAGGGCAGGCCACGGAAGGAGCTCTGATTAGAAAGCCAGACTGAAGGATTCTGAACCAAGAGTTTCTATAACCTGATTTTCACATCATCACGCTGGCTCTTGTGAACAGAAACAACCTACTAAGCCCAGCGAGGAGGCTACTGCAGTGGCTTAGGTAAGAAAGAGGTGGACTGGGGGGTTGTGGAGAGGGAGAAAAGTGGACTAGGACTCTACTAGTGTTTCCAGAAGAGCACAGGTAAAGAATTATTCCTTCCCTACTTTCTAATTGCCAGTAGGCTGGGGACTTCAGACAGCATTTTTACGGACTTCTATGCACGGGTAGACCTTCCTTATTTGAATCTCTGCTCTTCATACTCTGCAGCCACATTCTCTTACCCATGACCCATACCTTCTCCCATGGCAGCAGTGGATTATTCAGGGGTCACTCAGTTGTCCCAGGCTCCAGACTCCACATGGAGTCAAGTATTGTGGGCGCACTGAACAAATGCTGTATCTTTCTTACACAGCTTATTCTTCAAGTTTCTGTGGTTGTTGTTATGAATTCACTTAAAAGCGTTTTATCATCGCATTTATCATTCTCATAGTCACCATTTTATCAATAGATTTTAAAAACTGCTTCAAGTGTGTTGTCAAATTTCCTTCAGGGTGGCGTATGTCTGGCATTGAGGAGGCTCATGTCAGGTCAGCTGACCAAGACCACCGGCCCCATATTCGGCGGTGGTTAACAGCCTGCCGGGTAATGGCTGGGGCTCCCCCGGTAGCCGGTAGCCTGGAGCTCTGGGAAAAGCAGAGATTATTTCGTGATGTAATAATGTTGCCTTCCTGATTCGGTTGCCATGTCTGACAGTGTTTAAAAAACAGTTTTAAAACATTCTGAGAATGAATATTCTTTTTTTTTCTTTTTTTTTGGTTTTTTGAGACAAGGTCTTGCTATGCAGTTCAAGCTGGCCTTGAACTCACTGTGTAGCCCAGGCTGGCCTCGAACTTGCAGAGGTCCTGCCTTAGCCTCCTGAGCGTAGAACGAATATTTTTAATGTACAAAGAAATGGGTATTTTCCTTCTAGTAAGGCATTCTAGAGGATTCTGAAGAAATCCTGAGACATCTGTACAGAAAGAAACCTCCACCCCCAAACACCTACTACCCACCCCAAGTGCTACATCTAATCATAGTGCGTGGGATGGGGACAGTGTATCACACTCTAAGTGTGCTTCCCATGGGTTCCCTATTGAATCTTCATATGAGTCTTTGGGATGGGTGACATTTTCTCTGCTTAGGAAACTGAGGCTTACCGAGTAGGTTAGTAGATTATCCGAACTCATCAGTGAGGGAAGCAGACGTCAAAGTCAAATCTGCCATTACTCTATGATGCCGTCTCTCTGGACAGCGAAAGGAAAACAAACAAAACCTGGGACTAAAAAACAGCCTTGCAGGTGATCCTTCCAAGTTTCATCATTTAAAAAAATGGCAGTGTCTGTATTCACAGGAAAGAAAATGCTGGACTAAGAATCTGTAACTAGTCTTCAATTAGAAAGAAAATGGAAGTAAGATAAATAATTCAAATGCAAAAGATGGGAACGGTAGACTTTGCAATTAGGCATTTTATTTAACTCATCCAGTAATACAAGTTAGTTTAAGAAAGAACAAGCAAAATGTATTACTTGTGCTAACAACATGTAGAACCACATTTCCAAGACATCTAATGAAAACAAATGCTGAAATAAATTACTTTGTGGAACACAGCAAATAAATAAATTTTTACAAACAACGTCTCTGTGAATATTAGAGAAAACTGTGAGAGTTGTGGGGAGAGAGACACCGTGGAGCTGGGGAACAATGGAACTTGAGGATAAAGCCTGAGAGAGATGTAAGGAGCAGCAGCGCATTAACGAAAATGAGTAACAGACATCTAACCCTCTCCCTCCACCCCCTTGGTTTTCAGAGTGATTTCTCCCCATCCCCGAGATAGGCTCTGAGTACCGCTCCTGCCACCCCAGCCTAAGTGATCCAGATAATGTAATCGCTGCATCATTAGGAACCATGAAATTGCAATTCCTCGGGGAAGGAGCGCTATCGCTCAGTTACACAGAGAAGAGCGATTAATTAGTGGATCTCAGTTTAACGGGACTGTGTACTACATGGGTTCTAATCCCACTCTGCAGCAGCTCTCAGGCCTAATGAATTACCACTAAGAAGTTGAGCTGGAGCCAGACGATATCACTCAAAATGCAACACGGGAGATGAGATACATCTCCCAAAACTAAAGTGAGAGAGAGACCATGGACCACTGGGAAGAGCAGGAGGAACCAGATAGGGACCCTCTAGTTTTTCCTGACCCTGAAACAACACTGCTGTGCATGCAATTCCATATTTGGACCCCATTCTTGGCAACTTGATCTAAACCGACTCACTCATTCGCTAAACTCTGTAAAGCTGTGGCACTTTTTGCAGAATGCCAGGGTGCTACTTTGGACCCATTAATCCCTGGGCAACTGCACCCTTACACATCAGACAAAGCAGATGAAAAGCTGCACTTGAGACCCTCATGATGGAAGCGTAGGAAACAATTCCAAAACAAGGATACCTTCTCCCAGAAGTGGAAGTGGAAGTAGGATTTTTACCATTCCCAAGAGGATTGCATCTCTCAACTCACAGTGGCTAGGTCCCACCCTCCCTGGTGCAGGCAGCTGGATTAAGCACCAATGTCCTAAAAATCAAGTGGATAGAGGCAGAAATCAAGGCTGGGTCATTGGAAGGCCTCAGCTCTTCAGCCAGCTAAGTCTTTCCATTTCACAACTTGGTTGGATTCAAGCTATAGATCTCTGACCTCTATTCAATATCCCTGGGAGCTTTTACTGGGGCTTCAGTTCTAGGACATAACATCAGGGGGAATATAAGGGACAGAGACTGCATTGATAACTGTGGTTAGACCTGTATGTGTGTGTGTGTATCTATTGAGATTTCGTGTTAAGGAAGAGGGTTTTTGGCTCCAAAGTGAATGACTGGTACCACACACTGGTTTCTAACTCTCTTTCCTGGATCTTAACCAAGTGCTGGTTCCTAACATGTCCAGAAGCAAGGTGGGCAGGGGGCAGGCGCAAAGTTAAAGGTCTGGCTTACTGATAAGGACATGATGCCCAAGAGGGAAAGTGACACATCTAGGCAGGACTAGGCAGACATAATTTCTGGGGCTCACTGCAAACTGAAAATATGGGTCAGGTCCCCTTGTGAAAAAACAAGAACACAAGCTTCTTTCTTCCCCAGGCCCTTTTGACTTGTCATAGCGATATTAATTTGCTGGTTAATGTCATTCTAAGTCAAAATGTAAAATTGCTATCAGGGCTCTTATCATTCATCTTGACATTCTGCCATGCCAGTATTGAATGGGAACACCAGAATATTGGACACAGACATGGAACTGCCAGAGTTGCAAACTGCTTCATGGCTCATCTCAGGAGGGTGCCTTGGGTTGGCCAGAAGAGACGCCAGACTCAGGAAGAGAGGGTCCCTTCAAGGAAGGGGCTGGCAGATAGGGTTCTCCCTTAGGCACGAGGGGTCTCAGGGGAGTGTAGACCGCACAGACACTGGCAGGACTTGGGGCAGGTCCAAGCACTGCAGCCTGGCTGCTGGCTCTCTTATCTGCCCACCACTGGCCAATATGCTATATCCTGTGCCGAGGGCAGCAGGTCATCCGCTGGGCATCTCTCCCTTCCACAAGCTCCTCCTCCAAGCCACAGTAGATGGCAACACCCAAAGGCTCTGAGGACACACCAGGTGCTTGGCTAGGGGTAGGCTGGAGCCTCCCACTGACTTTGTCAGGACACTGTTGTGGGGCGCTCTCCTCATCCTGGCACTGCTCTTCTTGCCAGGCTGTTCCTGGGTATGAATATTCTTCAGCCACAACCTCCAGGAGCCAGGAGCCCCAGGTCTAAAGCAGCATCCCCTTAGCACCAGCAGTCGAGGAGCTTCTGGCACAGCCCAGGGGCTCAGCGTCACAGGGGTGCCTCTGATCACTATCTGTTTCTCACAAGAGTTTTTGGAGAAGAAGAGTGGCTGGTGCTGATGAGGATGGGAAAGCACCCCAAGGAGGTGAAAACACAAGTGCTTTCTCCAGGGAGACCCAAGGAGTGCAGCTAAGGAGAGACCCGAGGCTTCTCCTGCCAGCTGCTTGGGAGCACAGGGGAAAAGGATTGCGGTCAGCTGGGATGGAGCTGTTTCCCTGGGCACACTGGGAACTCGAGCTGCCCAGGCGGCTGGCCCTGTGGGGGCTCTTCTGAGCCTGAGGCAGGGGAAAGGCGTGACCCAGCTGCTGGACGTTAGGAGGGGCAGGGAGGGCCACAGTGGCAAACCTTCCAGCCTGTGCTGCTGTCAGAAGAGGCCTCCTGTGACGAGGGAAGAGGTCGCACGCTCTGGAGGCTAAAGGCCTGAGCCCGCGCCTGGCCTTGTTACCCGGGAGATCTTGAACAAGTCCCACTCACTCCAACTCGGAGCCTCACGTCCCACCTGAAAATGAGCAGGTTGGCCCCCAGGACCCCTCCAGCCTGCACAGTTCAAAGCCCTTGAGAATCAGTTTCGCTGACACATGACCCGTGGCCAAGGCGGCCAGCGCTGAGCTCTAGGGATGCTGACATACATGTCCTCATTTCAGAGCCTGCCGGGCCAGCTCTGTGGGCTTCGTCTCCCTCACACAGGAGTCACTGGAGGCCGGCGTAGTCTCCCGGGCCCCTCCTGGGCCCGGAGCCGCCACGTGCCCAGACATCAAAGTTTTTCCTCTGTCTGGAGGGCTGATCAGCCCCACACCCAGATCTGGATTCTGCTTCTATTTCCCTTTCCGCATGGGGACAGAGAGAAGAAGGGCAGAGAAGCCTTTGAAAACATCTCTTGCTCCATTTCTTCTCTGCTTGCTGCTCATTGCTTAGCATTCACCGCGCTGGCTGAGCCCAGTGACACTCCTGTGGTGCACTGCTTAGCCACTCGGCAACTTTTTCCCCTTTTATGATATTTTGGGCTCCTGATTGCCTGCCAAGTCCAAGCTTTATCATTTAATAAGAAGAGGAGCAAGAAGAAAGATTCCCTCCAAGTCAGCCCTGGTGTAAACAGACTATTCCAGTCTGGCCTCTCCCCGGCCAGTCCTGGTGCCAGGCCTAGGCCATGCTGACAGGACCTACGCTCTTGGAGGGCTCTTTGCAAATACAGCTGTGGGAACTGCCAGGAGGAAAGACCACCCAGCCCTGAGTCTGCAGAAGGCTTTGCCAGAAACTCTCGGTGATGGGGTACTGATCTTTACGAAGGCGGCGGAAGGCTAGAGAAGCAGGGCTTTTCACTGCGAGACCTTGGCTGTGCTGCATGTGGGATGACAAAGCAAGTCAGGACACCAGGGGTGAGAAAGCTTTCTGACCTCGGCCCTGGTGTGCTGACACTCTCTGGCTTATCATCTGTTTTCCTCATTGTGTGTCTTCTGGGCCTGGAACATAGTAGATGCTCAGTAAATATTCATTGAATGGATGAATAAATCTGATTACACTTTTCCTCCTTCACACACAGAAGGGTTTGATTATTTAGAAGCCTTGTCAGGGACAATAATGAGCTTACTGCAGACATCCGGTTCTCAGTGATGTTTCCCTTTCTTTAGAGAAGCAGCCTGGAGCTCAGGAGGACTGGCTGGGGTGAGAGGGTGGGGATGTAAAGTGAGCAGACAGTGGTTTTGATTGTCAGGATGTCCCCCTGTGCTAAGACCCCGGATGGGGTGCGCAGGGAGGCTCTGCTCAGGACAGAGCACACCCACTGGGGGCCCTTCCCCAAATGCCATATTGCGCCTCACAGCGGCCTTGGGATTCGCTCACTCAGTGGGGACAAGAGGAGGCTGCAACAGCTTGAGGGTGAGACAGTGTGCTGGGCCCCAGGGCCACCTGTGCTAATCCAGCCCTGCCTTCCTGCGTGCTCACTGTCCTTCTCGGTCAGGCACTGCCCTGGGACCTGCGGGAGACCCAGCCCGTACTGCTCCTGCCCAGCCCCCTTGTTCAGCTCCTGATTCCTGCCTGATTCCCCTCCATTTCGGTACTTTTCAAGGCAAAATAAGCTAATAACAAAAATGCTGTGGCAGTAAAGGCACACTGAGCAGGAGAAGGGCCGTGCTCCCCACCCCCACCGTGTGGGGCTGGCCAGGGAAGGGGAGGCGCTGCGCTGTGCATCCTGCCTTCAGGAAAAGCCCAGGCAGCTCTCGGCAGAGCTTCTCGGGAAGCCGATCAATACAGCTTCGGAGCTTCCGAGCTATTATTCACGCCAAAGGGGCTTGTTTGGACGAAGGGAAGGAGAGTGCCCAAGTTCACAGAACCACAGCCCAGAGTGCAGCTTCCTGCCATTTCTCCCTTACTGAAATGCTTTCGTTATTTATGTAGCACAGTAAGGAGGCAGATTGGAAAGAGGAAGTGCTTCCCCCATGGCAGGCAGAAAGCCTGGGAGGTTGGAGATGATGGTGTGTGGCTTGGGGAGGGGTCCATGTTGTTCCCCTTTTCTGGGTCCTCTTGGGGCAGGGCTGTGATGGGCTCGGTGCTACAAGGTTGCCCAATCCCCTCCCTCCCCACTCTTCCCTGGGATGAGCCCCAACAACCTCCTGCCCCTTTGTAGGGAATCCATTGGCCTTCAGCTGCACCCCATCTGGTCCTCACCTCCCATACATTCCCACCCACTTGTCCTGCCATCTTGGTTTTGTCTCTAGTAAGCTGGCTCTGGAACACCTCCCTTGCGCCTGATCTGGAATCCCAGGAGGTAGGTAGCCTCTCAGCACATGTGTCTTCCCACCTCCACAACAGGAGGAGGAGCCAACCCTGGACCCGTCACTCATCCCAGAATGCCCTGGCTCCAGTCACACTCATGCCTTCCTGTCCCGGCCTGGCTGTGCCTGGCTGCCCTTCAACATCCCTGTTCTTAGGTGCCCTTCCTGTGGCTGCGAGATCTTTTCTGAGCTGTCCACACAGTCACTCATCCCATTAAAAAAGGCCGGCATCTGGTATAAAAGCCATATGACTGATCATATTATTTGGCCAGCCTCTGGCACATGCTCCTTAGTCTGCAAAGATAAGAATCTTTCTTGGGGTCAGGTTTAAAGTTAGTGAGTTACAGCACAGGCTGAGATCAAGTTTGAGGGTTGTTTTCTAGTCTCAGTGCTCTTAACCAGGGTCGTTGGGAGTGTTGCTGGGGATGGCTCACCACAGAGCCTTCTTCTGTTTTGAAAAGATGGCTCTGAGCACATCTCCTGGTGAGGAACGGAAGTCATCCCCAGAGTGGTGGCTTATCATGTGGCTACGTGCACTGGATCAAAATGGAGCCCAGAGGCCCTCTGGGCCCCGATGTACCCACCATTTCTATATCCATAGTGATCAATGGCAGCCACAAGCAGATCTCATCTGGCTCTTGCCTGCTGGGCTGGCCCACAGCTCCTGCAGGACCATGTGACCTTGGGTGTGTGGTGCTGAGAGACACTGCATTGAGCAAGGAACATGAAACATCTCTTCCCCTCACATCTAAAGGGTCTGGTCTCTCTGGGATAGGAGGGTGGGACCAGAGACCAGATAGGAAAAGCTGCTCCCTGTCCCTGACCAGAACACCTCAGTCCTGAAATGCCAGTGAAGCAGGTGGCTGCCATTCTCAGGTTATGTAAACTCACAGAACAAATGGCCAGCAGTTATGCAATGAGAAGGCCATCAGCTTCTGACTCAGGATGACCACGATGGAGCCTTGTCCTCTCTGGCCCCTCAAGCTCATAGCCCATGGAAAAACCAATCAATTCGCTAATGGCAGACCACAGAAAGGAAAAGGGTGGAAGGTCAGTCCCAGCCAAATGCTGCTCCTGTTGCCTATGAGGGAAGCACTCTTCGTGACGAGCTCCAGTTGACTACCTGGAGCCCACCCAAGGCCTCCCTTGGTGCCTGCCCAAGACACCCCTGTCACCCCCTCCCTGAAGTAGCCACCTGGACACACACAAGTCTTCCTTTAAGACGTCGTTCCTATTCACTCTCACTGTAGACCACAGTCCTCCAACCACACACTCAGCTAAAGGGGAAGGCAAGTGGCCGCAGACTGGAGACTCAACAGCAGTGCCTTTGAAACCAGCGCTGGCCACAACTGACCAGCAGTCCTTGGCTTTGGACTTCTCCTCCAAACACACATCACTTCCAGGAAAGCCACCTCACTCTGAAGCACAGAAGGCCCTGCCGGCTGGCAGTTCAAACCAACGCGATGAGGAAATCATTGCTTAGAGTTAATTCTCCACTACGTAGACAAACTGCTATAAATATTTATGATGGGAAATTTCATTATTTAAAAATTCTGCTAAATCTCCAGCTAAGTCCATGAAGAATGTCTGCTGAACAGGTTGCAAATTAAGAACAATTATTTTTCTCTTCCGCATTTAAATATAACTTACAGCTAAAGTCATTTAAAGGGGTTAACATCAACCTTAATTAAATATTAAAGTGTGCCTGTACCTGCCGCTATTGTTGCCCCTTCGAATAAGATATAACCTATTTTTGACAAGTTTTCATCTTTCTCTGTGGAAGACGCTACATGAAACCAAATCAGTGGCAAAGAGGAGAGTAATGAATAATCTATTTCATATTCTAACAGTACCCAGAGCTCGGAGTGGAAAAATATTCAGTCAGACGATGGCAAGAGGCTGCTGAGGTACCACATGACATAGCTAATGTTTAAATAATAATAATAAAAAAAGCGATAAACAAATCATTAGCCCTTAACAGTTATTTAATGCAATTTGTTAATGAACGTAATGGTGGGGACTAATAATGAAAGAAAATAAAAACGTCTAAACAGGCGCCAAGTTGCTGGCGATGCGCAATTATTTCCTTGTCAAGTTTTTATGATTTAATGAGCCCCTCTGGGACTGACGGCTGTCAGTCAGTCGTGACTTTTTGACACCATTACAACTTCAAATACAGCAGCAGGCAGGCTGTTTTCCTCGGATTTGAAATACTGAAATGATCTGACAGTTTTAAAGAAAAGATGTGCAAAAAAAAAAAGGAGAAAGAGAGGGAGGGAAAGACAGTCGCTTTTTCCTTTCTTTCTTTCTTTCTTTCTTTCTCCCCCCCGCCCCCTTCTTCCATGGGTTGATAATCTCTGGATGCTGTTTGGTAATGAGAACTCAATCACTGAGGTCATTATCTGATGAGGTTTTTGGAGCAGGCAGGCTTTTTTTTCCTCTTTATTTCTTTACTTAATGATAACCCTCAATGGGCTTGCCCCGCATGGGACGGCCAGAGCCGCACAATTTTGTTCACCATTAATTTCAGCCTTTGAAGCTCAGGGCTCAGAAGCAGTAGCAAAGCAAACCCCCCACCAAGCTGGTTCCAAAATAAGACAATCCAGCCTGCCTGAAACAGAATAGCAAATGGCCTCCCAGCCCAGGCCTGGCAGCTGACGTCAAGCCCACAGCATTTGTAGGCATTCGCCTTCAACATGGAACATTTAAAACTCTTTACAACTTAAGAGACTTTAATTAAATTGCTTTTGATTCTGGAGCAGGGTAGCATCCACTTTATTTATTCTGTCAGGGAAACTGTTTAGTCTGCATGAATTTTATACGACAAGGGCTCCCTTCTCTTCCTCCTCCTCTACATCTTCACCTTCATCTTTCCCCACCCTCCCCATTGAGTATTGTTTGTAACAAAGGCTCCCAACTTCAGGAATATTCAACAAGCGAAGTATACATATTAAGCGTCTAGCATCTTCCCCAGATTTTCAATACGCTTCAAATTTGTGGACTCTCTTGCTTCCCCCGTGGAGCAGGAAGGGAGGGAGAGCCCTGGGCTCAGCCCTCCTCTGAGTCCTGCCTGCAGTATGCAGCCGGGCTGGGGGATCAGGGACGGTCTGAGCATCCTCCTCATGGAGAACGCCTTGCCCTGGTCTAGCTGGTCACTCTCAGAGGGCTGGGACGGAGCCTTCAGCCAAGGGTTTTCTGGTCACAGTCTTCTCACTCCCAAGGCTGGACTGGGGCAAAATCCTGGACAAAAGCTGATAAAGACATGGAACTGGACAGAAAAAGCCGAGGAGAGGGAAGCAACGAAGGCACCCTCATTTCTCATTTCATCTGTTTCTGCATGGACACACGCTTTGAGAGAAACACTTAGGAGCCACCAAGTACAGATGATCAGATCAACCTTGCTGGCAAGGTGGCCTTGGCCAGATGAGCTGAGCAGGAGATGGGAGGGAGGCGGGAGGTGCAGCTCGGCATCGAGTTACGCACTTGACTAAGACTAACAGCTTCCAAGGAAGCCACCGGAAGGGTTGGTGTACTTCACTCACTGTCCTGGATGAGGAGGGGGTTGCTTGTTTCTTTGCTTTGAAGTGATTTCTTCCATGAGTTCAGCACATCCAGAATTCTGTTATCAGAAGAAGGATTTTGCTGAGATGGGTCCTTGAGCTGACAAGAAAATTACCACATCTTCTCGCTTCTTCACTGTCCGACTTCCCTTGGCCAAAGTCCCGCACCGTCCCTCCCACATAAAGGCTGCAGCTTTATTTACACAATACTAAATGATATCTGAATACTTGCAGGCCCTGGTTTGTTCCGATAAGTGTGGCTTCTCTGGTGGATTTTGCATTCTGCATTTCCTTTCTACTCCATAATGGTTCTCCTCTGAGTCAAAAAAAAAAAAAAATCAAGTGTTCCATTCAGGTGATCTTGATCCATGAGCACAGGTGGTTAGCATTTTTTATGAAGAGAACAGGTTTGCTTTTCAAGAATTCAAAGCTTCCAATTATATTCAAAAGATAGTAGAGACCCCATAAGTGGCTACGGAGTCTTAAGAAAAACACATTTTGCTTTATAACTAGGGGGAAAATGACCTCAGCTTGGGTAACTTTTAAGCCTGATCACAAATGAACTCATTTTGAATGCAATTCCTGGTTACCTCAGATAGAAAGAAAATTCACAAAGCATGTTAGAGGTCTGAATACATAGTGAATTCAGGAAGGCTTTGCTAACATTTGTTAGTAAAAAAACCAAGTCGTCCTTTCATAACACCCTTCAATCCTTCTCCTTTGAAAGGAGGTTAGTGAACATTTCCCATAAAGTTTATTTCTAGTGGATCATCCTATAGGACTCTCTCATATTTATAATCACCTTGGAAATTTCGAACAGATGGAGTCATGTTCTTGCTCTTACTGAAATATTCATGTTCTCTTTACATACTGGAATGGATGTGGAGCGAACTTTGTCAGACCTTTTGGATGTATGAGGGCTGCTTTTGGCAGTGCAAATATTAAAACCGAAAGGATACAGAGATGCTTACACAGGTCAGGGATGATGAGGTCACAATTAAATACAGTGCCAGGACTCATTTTGCCAGCAAATTTGGAGGAGTATGGGATTTGGGGAAGGCAAAGAGATATTTCTTGTAGCCAGTAACCAAAGTTGTGAAAACTAGATATTGGGCAGGGTCAGCAAAAAATATTCTCCAGTTTAAAAAATTATGCAATAGAAAAACAGGGTAAGTGCTAAGTCAATTTCCTGTACAAGTGACATTAAATACCCTTCGTTGGAATGAAAGCACTTGGGCAGGTTAACTGTGTTCATTATGCCCAGGAAGGGACCGGGCTGGCTTGCTGGAGCTGGTCACTGGCTCTGTCCCCCGATTTTCTTTGCATTTTTATCCTCAGGCATCATAGACAGACTTTGGTGACAAGAAGTTCATGCCAAACAGAAGCTCCCTTGGCTGACTGACTCATCATGCCCTCTCTGAAACCATGAGCCCCGACATGTCCACAGGGCAAGAAAGAGCTCACTGAGGCTATTTTGGACAGTAGATGAAATTACCAAAAGGCAAATAAACAATCACCTTTGCCTATAAAAAACAAATCTGGCTGCAGACAAACCTAGAAAAGGAAACCAACCCACATGCAAACAGGAATAGAAAATATTTTTGCACTCTTTGCACTTGAGCACTTGAACGGTGGTGAGGGAGAGAGAAGGTCACCCAGGCCTGTCAGCAAAAGAGAATGATTCATGGGACCATTTTGTCTTAATTACTCAGAACATGCCGAGGTTGATGTTTATCATGGGAGAGGAGATGCATCACTGTCTTCTGACGAAAAAAGCAATCGTCGTTAGGATGGTGATGACCACGACGATCCCCAAGATGACAAGCAGGATGCGGTTCTGGATGATTCTGGGAGACAGAGAAGAAAAAGATGCACACAGATAAATGGAGCACACTCCGACAGAGCTTGCCCAAGGCCAGGGTGGCTGATGATACTAACGCCCCTGAGTGTGCCCTGAGTGTGTGTGTGTAATCACACAGCTGTGGGTTCTGTGAACAACCCCACAGTCCTTGACACACTGCACTCCAAGAAATGCTCACTGCAGAGCTAGAGCGAACAAATAGTTTTCTCGGCTCCCAGTACCATGGAGTCTCTAAGTGATCAAGGACCCCATGTGAGCTTCTCTTTTTAATTTAAAATGTGAGACAAGCCTCATTTTTTTTCTTCAGTGTTTCCTGTGAAAGGAAAAGACTCCAAGGAAACATATGTCAGTAAGGTACTTACCTGTACAAAAATACCTGGGGAAAAGTAAAAGAGAGACTTAGCGAGACAAGGACAAGATTAAGAAGCAAGTGTCAAACTCGCAGCTTAGGCTATGAAACCATCATCTGTCACTGTGGCTCATGCTCCATCATGCCAGCAGGAAATATTACATTCGCTCCATAGCAAAACAAGATGGAAATGAGGAATAATGGAAAGTCCTCAAGGTGCCTGTCCTAGTTTGTGCGGGGCCTCACCTCTCATGCATTCCCACACCCCTGGTCTGAGCTTGGCACTGCTGACCTGAGGAGAAGCTGAAGAGAGAGGCGAGCAGATGCCTGCCGAGAGCTTCCGGTGAAGTTGTTTCATAATTTGTTACCTCATTTGGAGAAAAGAGGTCGCACATCAGAATGCTTTGTTGAGACTTTCAAAGGGAACCTAGGTCCAGCAGCCTCGCCCACGCTGGCTCTTGCAGAGCCACACAGAAATAGAAACCCAGAGTGGCTGGCCGTCCAGCTGGCTGCCCAGCGGCTCAAAGGCTCACAGCAAATCAGATGTGGGCAGAAAGAGATCTGTGCCTTATTCCAGACACGGGACACCAGCCGGAGGTCTCCCACAGGGAGTGGCCAGGAGGGACCGAGCCAGGTCTCCACAGAGCAGGGGCGACTCTTGCTGTGTAAAGGCTCTTGGCAGCACGTTTACAGCCTTTTTAAGCATCTGGATGCTTGTTTCTGAGAAGGAGGCCGACCGGAGGTTGTAGTTTCGGCTGGGTCCTCTCACCCGCCCCCTCTTGCCCACACCTAACCGGATGGATGGGAACTGTCACATCAGAGTAACCTGCTCCCCTGTGGCCCCTAACAGGACCAGCTCCCTTTCCTCTTGACAGGTTACAAAATGATCACATTTGCTGACACGTCTTCCGCAAAACTGCCTTAGTGCCTGTGTCCACTTTCCTAGCAGGAGATGAATGGTGCGCTTGGTCCTCATTTATCACACAGGCTCGTCGGAGATCTGTCTCGTTTATTTCTCCCCTTCCCCACTAGAAAGTCCAGGCCTGACATTAATTCTTCTGTGATGACAGCTAATTCCGACTTAACAGGCCACATTTCCTCAGGAGACAGGAAGAGTCTCTGTCCCCCCAATACGTAAATAAAAACACGACTTCATGGTTTCTTAGAGTGAGGCTAATTAAGAACACTGATTGTTGCTACTTGGTGGCTCCACTGAAAACACAAATTGATCTCCCCCCTTTCCTCTGGAAGGGACAGTCCTCACACATCCCATTTGCCTAAGTCACTGTCAAAATCTTTATTTACCACAGTCACCCACATCCAACTTGCAAAGGAAATCAGCAAAATTGAAACTCAGCAGTGCAACAGATTAAAAGCATGAGAACTCTTTTTAAAATTCTGCCTTAAGTAATACACGGTCATGTGGCTCCGGTAGAGCTGGGTTGACAACCATTTTATTTGTGGGTGGAGGGCCCCCAGGCATCCATGATGCTGATTTATAAAGGATTAACTGGGGGTGTTACTTATTAAATTTGAGGCAGGGTTAGGAAAAAATGAATGCACAGGGATCCCTGGGTTCTCAGCTCTTCTCCAGCCTTGATAACAGGGCTCACCCTCCTTAGTGTATCCCCAGAGCTACCAGATTTCTTGGCACCGCCCCTCTGCTGTGTCAGTGGTCCACCTGTGGGGATCATGTAGAATTTACTTCTACAGCCCCAATACCACTATACGGCAGCGGGCACTCGGGGACTCAAAAGAGGATGGTGTAAAGAATGACAATGAAAGAACACAGCCCCTAGTAATTGCAATAATGACATTCAAAGGAGAATGGAGAAGAGGAGATCTGTGCAAATTCAATTGGCAGAAATATCAGGGGGTCTGAGTCGAAAAGGCTAAAGTTAAAAGTTGAAACCAGCCCCCAACGACGGAACTGCATTCCATCATGGGTTCTCAGAGGACTGCTGGGTCTTCTCCCCACACTAGGAGAAGGATCAGTCTCTGAGGACCGGAGGTGTGTGCCGCTGGACTGGGGCTGTCTGCTTATAACTCAAAGGCTGCCGGGTATTTGGAATGGGGAGAACAGAGAGCAAAAAGACCTGGAACAGGGAGGGTTGTAAGTAAGCTTGACTGGCCAGGCCATCACCTAGCCTTGCACTTCAAGGAAGCTGGGCAAATTGTAGCCACTCTATGGACCAGAAAGGTGAGCCATTAGGGCCCTGGAATGGATAGGATGGAGCCAGCTTGGAGTGGGGAAACAAAGGCTGGCAGTGGCAGGCCCCATCTGTGAAGAAGCCCAGAGAACAGCCATAGCCAGTTGCTGCTGGCCTAGAGCAACTGGGGAAAGCCAAAAGGAACACAGAATTTAGAGACAATCAGCAAAACAACCCAGAGAAAGAACTATGGGGGAAGCCCAAAGTAACTCCCTCTTAACTTTAGGCGAGGGAGGCCTTGATGTTCAACTAAGTCTGTAGCAAGCAGTCTTAATATTCCTGTTGAAAATGCAAAGTGTTTACCCAGTAAATAATTTAAGAAAGAGTATACACTTGAAAAAAGACATCCATTGAAACAGCCAGGCTAAACTGCCTCCAGGCAAAAACTTGTGCATTTGCATGCTTCATTCTATTAAGTGAGCACACTGTGGCTTTAAAAGAATGCAGAGCCAAATTAAAAGGAATGTGGGCCTGAGACATCAAAAATTCTCCAAGTTTACATTATGAATCACAGTGCTATTGATATAAGATGAATTAACCATTTACTTTGAGGGTGAACTCAGAAAGTGCTATTGAAAATACTGATCCCCGTCTGCAGCCCAGGGAGTGGTTAATCTTTCCATTGCCAGTCTCCTCCCCTTCAGAAAAACAGGCTCCTACATGTGGCAGCTGGACTCAGAAGGCTGGTGCAAGTGGAGGAGTCAGTGGCTGCCGGACGCAGTTCTCTGCTCCTGGTTGAGGGGCATGGGAGTAGCTGTTCTCTGTGGTCCCCAGTATTCAGTTTTCCTCTGCCTTAGCCCAGACGACACTGGCCTATCCCTTGATGTTGGATAGACATGATTACAGGACTTGCTTTGGCCAATGATGGCATCCAGGAGGCGGCACCAGACTTGTGGTGCTCAACCTTCTAGCTAGCTCTTCCCTTGCTTCTGACTTAGGGGGATGTGTACTCTAGAGAGTGCAGGTATGGATGGATTGTGGCATCTCCTTCTGCCTGGATCCCCAGTCAGCACATGGAGGCCCATTGTCCCGGAGACTCACAGTGGACTTGTACCAAGCCAACGAGACTTGGGAGTAATTTGTTACCGTAGCATAACATAGACATCCCAAGCAGGACACTACTGCTCCTCTCCTCCCACACAAGGAGGAAGCCAAGGGAGGTTCATGGCTAAATATATTACCAAAAGCCAAGGTGGGATGAGGGGTGTATTTCTTTCCTTGAAGAATGACTGAAGAATGATTTTTGCTGCTTGATTTCCAAAAGCTGGAATTCTTTGCTATTCACTTCTCCCTGAAGAATCAGGTACTTCTTTCAGCTGAGGCCAATGCCACCGTGTGCTGATGAGTGATACTACCAGTGCAGTTTCAGCAAGCCTGGCGAGGCACTCCATTCCTTTTACAGAGCAGATATTGTGCTGGCTGCATTCACTTTTCTGTTCCAAACATCTGATGGCATCCCTGGGTTCCAGGAGAGTGGTGACCTTGGTCAAGATGGCCAGTGGACTCTGTGCCCCTGGCCACTGCAACTGAACCACACGTAGGCTTGTGACTTAAACCAGTCCAGCAGAGTGAACATCAGGATCTTCGCTGAGAATGTCGGGTCGTCTCGAGAGTTGGCGTGTGGATGTTAGGTCTGGATCTGCTGCAGCCATTCTGTTTCCAGGAGGAAAGTCAGCCTAAGAAAGAAGCTGAGTCATGGAGGACAGCGAATGGAGGCCCAGCCCTGAAAACATGGTGAACCTCTACAGTGAACCATTCTTCTTTTGAACTTTGACTCGTATGAGAAAATAAATTCACTTCATTTTTCAGGACTGTTTGATTTGGATCTTCTGTTATTTGTGACCAAAAAGCATTTTTAGGTTGAGTCATCCTGATTCTAAAACCATGTCTTTGAACTCTTCCAAGAAGAACTTCCCAGCCATGCCCTTTTTTCCCTCTCCTGTCTCTCTGTGCATCTGTCTTGGTACTAAATTAACCAGTTAATTTTATGCTTTTCTTTTTCTGTGAAGTTTTCTCCCATCCACAATGGGCCTTCTACATTCTGAATCCACAGCGTATTTGGTATCCCTGGTGCCCAATGCAGAGTTTGGCATAGATATTTAAAAAAAAAAGAAAAGCTTGTGCTTGGCACAGTGGTGCACATCGATAGTCTCAGCTACTTGGGAGGCTCAGTCAGGGAGAGCATTTGAACTAAGGAGTTTGGGGCCAGCCCGGCCAACATAGAAAGACCCCCATCTCAAAAGAAAAAAAGAGCCCCACCCCCACCCGGGCCTCCCAGCCAGGAGCTGACCGGTGAGGAGCAGAGCAGCATGGGCGCCTGCAGCACGACCCCCGTGCTGTAATACTACAGTACATGTAATATAAAGATATAAAAGATATAAAATGCTTCCTGTGGGGTTAGATATGGAGAAAGAGGCCTCAGGTCAA